TACTTGGATGCAGGCCTTGCCAGAACTACTACTGGAAATAAAGTTTTTGGGGCCCTGAAGGGTGCTGTGGATGGAGGCTTGTCTATCCCTCACAGGTAAGAATGTATTCAAGGCTTCCATGCCTAAGCTCCATAATTCTTATTTCCAATTCGCGTTGGCTTAGGGAGATTACAGAATTAAAGTAACTGCTATTTTTGAATGCCTGCTATGTGCTAGGTACAACACAAAAAGAACCTAACAGAGTAGGAAGGAATTTTGTAGGCTTTATAAATGAAGAGGCTGTGGTTCAGGTAACAGTAGTATGGCCAGCCAAGGTCAGAATCAGTAAGTGGGAGAGCTGAAACAATTACATTTTGCATATGACTTAATTTTGCTAAAGTTCTGATTGGAACCATTGATGACCAGTCTTGAAGCTAAGGAGATTGTTAATCACAAGACTAAGCCTTAAAAATCCTGTTTTAATTTTTAGTCGATATAATTTGATACTTGAATTAATGAATGTACTTTGTAAATTCCATACTGTTAAAAATTAGATGCACGTATACCAAAAGCATACTCATTTGATGATTTTATTGGTTCTCATTTCCATTTACTTGTGGAACAGTTTTGAAATCCTTTCCTCTCTTAATATGAAGGAAAACTAATAGGTCTAGGTATAGTGAATAGTTTTAAAAGGTATTTGTGGAAGTTATTTCTATTGTAGTCTGATATGGAGATTAGCTGCTGAATGATGATATCCCACTAACTGAGCAGTCACTAGTTGGTCCTTTGGTTGCATATGATGCAATTAATAGTTTCAAGACGGGACTGATGGCAGCTATTCTTTATATAGAGAGTGAATGAAATTAATCTCTCAGTGAACTGGTTTCTGTCGGTTGGTACTAAAATATGTAAAACTTTGTTTTAGTACCAAGCGCTTCCCTGGGTATGATTCAGAAAGCAAGGAATTCAATGTGGAAGTATATCGGAAACACATTATGGGTCAGAATGTTGCAGATTATATGCGTTACCTAATGGAAGAAGATGAAGATGCTTACAAGAAACAGTTCTCTCAATACATAAAGAACAACGTAACTCCAGACATGGTAAAAATTATACCTAAAAACTTCTATTTTGTTTTATAGAATTAAGCTTACTGGGTTTTGGTGGGCATATGTTTATTTCATGTTAAGTACTTTTGTATTGGTACGTAGTAGTTTCTACTTTGGCATGACTCTGGCTATGAAAATCTTTTTAAAATCACATTGTACTTGGGGGACAATGCTTAAGATACCATCTGTTGTGAAGTGCCATTGATTTGGTTCCACTTGTAGCGATCCTGTATAGGGCTTCTGATGAGCTGCTGGTGAGCTTGAACTGCTGGCCTTATGATTAGCAGTCCAGTGCGTATCCTACAGCACCACACTAGGACTCAAGATACTGTCTAGGGTGGAGTGGACTCATAGGTTAATGTTTTTAGATAGGAAAGACCTTAAAACTAAAGGAGTAGCAAAGGATATGTTTTTAAACTTCCATCCTTTCATAAAGATCTATAGCTTCGCAGACCCTGCACTGATTGGCTATGTGTCAGAATCAACTCAAGGCAGTGGGTGTAGTGCTTTCCTGCATGTACCCTGTACATCTACACGTCTGTGCCTGATCTCATGGAAGGTAGAAATTAGGCTGCTTAAATCAGTGAGGGTGGTTTCAAAAGCTACTAGAAAAAATCTATGGTCTTTCAATTTCATTTTTCCATAAGCTTTTTAAAACACATTTGAAAATATTGGGTGAGTTTGTTAATATAGAACAGCAGCAGTGTAGTGCTAAAAGAGTTAGAAAAATCAACTTTTTCAAAAGGGATTTATTTATTTAGATAATGGGCTCACATTTTTACATAATTTTTGCTTGTTGTGCTTGGTTAATGTCTGCATAGTTTTCCACTTGAATGAGTAACCTTGGAGACCCTGAATTACCTTAACATGTTCTTTGTGGTTAACTGTCATCATCACAGTCGACTCCCTTGACTCAAGGCAACCTCCATGTGTAATGAGGGTGGATCTTTTTTTTCCCCAGAAATAAATTACCAGACCTTTCTTTCTAGTTGTCTTAGTCTAGAAGATACACTGGAATCTTTTCAGTCTCTTAGCAACAATAATTGGCTGGAAATTGAACCAGTTTCCTTTCATAGAAGACGAGAATTCTACCACTAATTTAAAATAAAATTTAAAAACAAAACCAAACCCTCTAATTTCATTTCTATTTCATTACTATTAAGCTGACTCTGACTCACAGTGACCCCATGTGTGGAAGGGAGTCTTGGTGATCTGCTTCCATAAATACCACAGCCAAAAAAATGAGAGGGCATTTACAAGTTTGACTGCGTGACTTGATCTCTGACAGGATCATCAGTCATTTGTTTGGAATTATTCATTGAAACAATTCACGGTTGCACAAATATCTTTTAATGAGAGATAACTGCAAGGTCAGCAGTTGAAACCCACTAGCCGCTCCTTGGAAACCTGTACAGGGTCACTATGAGTTGGAACTGACTTAACTGCATTTAACAAGAGCAAAGTAAGATAACAAATCTTGTGAGTTTCAAGGTTTTCTTACTGGTTCCAGAGAAGCCTCATGGTATTGCCAGATACTAGTGTAGTGCAAGATGTAAAGGCCACTGATACAGTTTTGAAAGACCTGTAAGACCTATCAGAAATTTTTGTAAATGTGAATCAGAATTTGGGAGGACAGAAATCTGAATTTGGAAATTGCTTGTTGAAACCCCAAGGTCCAAATGGAATCCTAGCAAGCTATGTCCGTGTCATTATTTCATTGTCTCCTTATACTCTTGGTTGCATTCTTCAGAGCGGTACATGGCAAATTTTTTTGGATTAAAGTGTGTTGAGTTTTGCAAATCATCAGTTACTGTGTTTAAAATTGAGAATGTATTAGGGAAATGTGGTAGGCTACATGTAGAAATTAGTTAAAAAACATGGCTCCGTTTTGTTCCTTTTGAAAATCTTATTTTAAAAATAAGGCTAAAATGGAGCAAGTACAGATACAACTAATAATATAATTGTGTAGGGCAAGTGAAATGAAACCAAGTACTGTTTGATTTCCTTTGTTCCAGATGGAGGAGATGTATAAGAAAGCACATACTGCTATCCGTGAGAATCCTGTTTATGAGAAGAAGCCTAAGAAAGATGTTAAAAAGAAGAGGTATATGTCTCACTATTACCATCTTTGCAAGAGGGTTGGGAGTGTTTCTCTTACTGCCTCCTTTGCATCTGGTGGGTCAGATTTGCAAACTCGATCACTAGCTCTGCATGATGTTGCAGAAGCAAGGGGAACCAGGTTTGCTAAAGTAATTGTGGTGATAGAACTGATTTAGCCTCAGGAGCTGCTGAGGTGGCCCATTCTATCCTAATACACAATTATAAGTGTCAGTTATTGCTTTGAAGAGGCTACCTAAAGAATAAAGTGTTGGTTTTCCAGATTTGATAATTCAAATGGGCATCTAAAGCATTGCACTAACAAATTCTTTTATTTTATAGGTGGAATCGTCCCAAAATGTCTCTTGCCCAGAAGAAAGATCGGGTAGCTCAGAAGAAGGCAAGCTTTCTCAGAGCTCAGGAGCGGGTTGCCGAGAGCTAAACCAAACCACAATTTCCTATGAAATTGTTTCAGAGAATATTAATAAACTTATTGACCAAGCAGTCTTGTTTTGTGTTAAGCTCTTAATTTTTAAATGAAATTGTAGAGAATAATCTGAAGTATAGAGAGTTGGTGGTTTTGTCCAAGTTTGTCTGATGCTGACTCAAGTTCACATCTATAATTTAGTTGCCATCCTTTAAGTTGTAGAGTAAGATGTACCATGTTCTCTATATAAAATCCATCACTAGGAAATAATTCTTCCATCCATTTATTATTATAACTAGATGATTAGTAGGAAGAAAAAGTACCTTCAAAATATATCTTAAACTGATGTTAATCCATGGCTTTCTTGACAGAAAGCTATTCTAATGGCCAGTGAAGAACACATAACCTTAACATTCACTATAAGCACGTGAAACATTTGAACAGAAAAATGCTGGGGGTCTTGGATTTTGTGGAGATACTGAAAGGTGCATGCCAGATCTGAATATACATATGAAAATAAGAATAAGCAACATGTCAAGTTCATGTGGAAAATATTAAATGAATAAATATCCATATCAAGAAATAGCCCTTTGACCTGGCTTCCCCCCATAGCCCAGGGTATATGGGTCAGGAAACGTTTTTAAAGGGTTCAGTTTGGTTGGGTGGTACTTGTATTATATGGGAAAATTACATGAAAGCTTACCCAGTTTTGGCAATAAAGCTGGCAATTACATTATTGCCAAGTATAATACTTATATAGGATTTTGAATTTTAAGAGGACCAGGAAACCATAGATACTCAATTGATGTATAAATGAGGTAAAAAATGTATAATAAACCATGCTATTAACCCAATGTCTGTTACAAAGGAGTAATTTACCTGCTTTGCAGTCTTAGTTTCTATTAATGTGCAAAACTTTACCATGCTAAGAACATTAGTAAATGTATGTATAAATTTAACAGCAGCTTCAATGCAAACAATGTTTTCAGCAGTGATATTTTGGCTAACAAAAATGTACAAAATTCACTGTTTATGGAATGAGGATTTTCACAGCATTTTTGTTGTTAGTTGAAATAGTTACACAGTGAGTGCACTGGGAAGGGTAACAGTTTCTTTAAAAAAGGAATGACTTTTGGACCTGTTAATCTCTATACCTGCCATTTAGTAATCAGGATGGCTTCACTAGGTCCAGGGGAAAGGAGGTTTAACTGACCGCGAACTCTGAAATCGCCATTTTTTAAAAAGCTCAAAACTTTTTAAAAAGAGGTTTCCTATAATGGTAATGTTCAGATGGAATTAAGAGTCATTTGTGTAGGAAATTTTCTTCCACAGTAATGTTTTCAGGTTATTTAGTATCAAAGAGTGTTCCATTTCCATTTGATTTGCTGTGACTTTGAGAGCAATACAAGAATAAAGCTGCTTTTCTAATTCTTCACGAATTTCACTTGGAGCACCACGCAGCAGGTAGTCTTTGAGTAACTGACAGGCTTTTGCCAAGTTTGGTTGTATCACTTCTGAAGTACACTTCATTGTGCTCTGATCACAGCTAGTTCTACAATCGGTGCCATAGACACAATCCAAATCCGACTCACAGTGACGGTCCTTAATAAGTTCTTTGAGGTTTGCCTCTGGCACAATTTTTCTCATGTCCACCATTTTTAAGTCATACTTATCATTATATCCTAGGTTTTTGGCACTAGTATCACACATGAGAAAGTTTCCATATGGGCCATGGAAAACATCTTCCACAAATTCTAGAAGTCCTATGGCTATTTTAGCCTTTCTAGGCCATGATGGTGTGAATAATTGATCCATGCTTCTTCTGAATCCAGATGGAATAAAAAGTTCGATGACCCATGGAAGACTTATTCCATAAAGAGAGGTATATTCTACACTTTCCATCACATAGAGATCACCACAGAATCCCATTAATTTGGGGGTATGTTCTTTATCTTGAAGTATTACCATGAGAAGAAACTCATTTAACTGAAGAAGTGCCCATGCTGACTTTGCTTCTCCCAAGGAAACCTGACCATCTTTGTCTCCATCAGCCACCGTCAGGATGAGATTAACCAGTTCAGAAAGGTTTCCTTGATCGCCCAACTTAGCCTAATAAAGATAAAATTTGGCTGATTATATATTAGTAATGAGAAAAATGTATATAACACTAAATTCCTTTATGAAGATTATCATCATGCTAGTAATAATCTTGCTACAACTCCCACAAAAGAAATTGCTATGTTACATCCTCAAATATTTATGTTGCTGCTAAAGTGAATAAGGAGTCCTGGTGTAGTGCTGTAGGAAAAGTACTGGACTGCAAGGTCGTTGAAATTACAGGGTCAGCAGTTCAAACTCACCAGTTGCTCCTCAGAAACCCTATACAGAGTTGCTATGAGTCAGAACTGATTCGACGGCACTTAATAACAATGAGTGAATTAAAACCATGTTAAACAACAAGTGAATTACAACCACGGTTAAAATTTTAATATATTTGCTTAGTGAGAAATGGCTGCCCTAACTACCCTAGCCCATTTAAGACAAATAAGTTGTTGAGTGCTATCGCGTTGACTCTAACTTATAGCAACCCTGTATAGGGTTTCCACGGAGTGGCTGGTGGGTTTAAACTGCCAACCTCTGCTTAGCAGTTCAGTGCTTAATCTACAGCGCCACACCAGAGTTTAACACGAACACAGTTAACAAAATTATTCCTTGTTTTAGTCATACATTTATACTTGCAAAATTGCAGCATCCAAACTTATTAATAACAAGGGCCAAATGAAAATTATTTTCTCCTATTTTGTATTGATTATAGTAACAATTAATTTGTTCAATTTGTACTGTTCCAATACTGGAGGTTAAAAAGCTTTTTCCTGCCCAATGTTTCTGGGATAAAATAGTCTGAAAATGTACAATAGCCAAAGAGAAAGATTATGAGTGAAAATAAAAAATAAATAAATTTTAAAAACTTAATTTTTATAGATTTTTATTTAATGTTTGTCTACAGGAGCTTTAGCAGCATAGTGGTTATGAATTGGGCTGTGAATCGCAAGGTCAGCAGTTTGAAACTACCAGTTGTTCGATGGGAGAAAGATGAGGCTTTCTGCTCCCATAAAGATTTACAGCCTCGGAAACTGTACAGGGTCGCTGTGAGTCGGAACCGACTGCATGGCACATAACAACAACATCAACAACATAAGTATTGGACTTCTGGTATGGAGCTGCAGGATCAGCATTGGACTGAATCACAAGGTCAGCAGTTCAAACCTACCTCGGAAACCCTATACAGAGTCGCTGAGTCAGAACAACTCGATGGCACTTAACAACAACATACGAATATTATCCAAGATTTTAAAATGTAATTTGCAATCAGGCTGTTTTTCACCGTTTCTTTTGATGGGTTTTAGTTATCACATCAAACTATGCAGCAGTTCATCTAGTCATGATCGTCATCAAATCTGGACATTTCTAGCTATTATAAATACACATCCTCCAACATACGTATCCATACGTATTTAGTTATTTCATCAGAATAGAGTCCTTGATACAGGTTTTAAAAACAAATCTCCGTATTTTTTTATGGCTTAGAATGAGATCCTGCCAACTCTTCCAGAAGAGTGTGCCTCTTCACATGAGCAACATGGGAATTGCATGTACTTACTTTAAAGAGACTGTAGACCATTTCTTTGAATTTCTGGACAGTAGTTCCCCTAGTTGGCTTATCAAATAGAACTATTTCTTTTCTTGGTTCCAATTCAGTTCCAAAATCAAGATGAAGTGCTTGTTCCATTTGACATTTCACAACACCTGGAAGATTATCCCAAATCCCTAAATACATCTATGTGAAAAAGAATGACAAGTTATGTACTGAGTTGAGTAGAAAACTCTGTAAAAAAAAAAAAAAAGATACCACGTGATTCTTCAAATTCAACTCACTGCCACTGAGTTGACTGAACTGCCAACTTTATGGTTAGCAGGCCCGAACACTTATCCAAAAGTTCCCTCATGTTTTTTTTTTTTTTTTAAACAACGAATTATCTTTAGTGTCCTCCTATTTAAATTTTTTCCCCAAAAAAACATCAAAATTGAGTTGTGGATTTTTTTTAAATTATAAGTTTGAAATCATACTCCAATGCTTTTTTCCTTAATTTAAAAAATTAAGTAAGTCATGCACGCCTAATATATTTTAAAAGTCAAACTATACATAAGGATTTGAAGTGAAAGCAAAGTTTTCCCACATTCCATTTCCCTTATTCTACTTCTAGAAGTAATCACTTCATTAACTATCTAGTTATCAAACCGACTAGATAATTAAGTGATTAATTAATTATACAGTGCTTACTGTGTGCTATGATCTATTAATTATTTTACTCCTTGTAGCAACTCGGAGGCAGATATTGATATTATTTTCATTTTACTGATGGAAACTCAAGAAGAGAGCGGTGGAATTTAAACCTAGCCAGTTGAGCCTCAAAGTTTACACATGGTCTTAACCAGTAAGCTAGGTTATCTCTTTTACTAATATATAAAAAAGAAAATTGGATCATACTAAGCATGTTAATTAAAACAAAGCAGATTTTATGACTCCCCTGCTTCAAATCCTCTAACATTTTAAATTAGACTAAAGTCCAAAGTTCTTACATTGCCTTTTGGCTCTATAGGAGATATCCTGACCTGTTTCTAAACTGATCTTTACCATTTATTCCCTCATTCTCTAAGTCTCAACAACAATGGTTCCATTCTGTTTCTTGAGTCTATCAAGCCTCTTTCTTGCTTCACGACCTTCACTTGCTGTTGTGGTGCCTAAGAATGCACTCTGCCCAGAGTTTCATTAAGGTCTGCTCTTTTACATCATTCAAGCCTCAGCTTAGTGACTTACCCTGACCTATCTATCTAGAATAGATCCCTCTTCCACCCTAAAGTTGTTTTCTAATCCACTATCCTATTTTATTTTTGTCATATTTATAGAGCTGTCTGAAATAATCTTTAAAAATAAAAAAAAGTGTTGACTTGGTTAAAAGCTGTCTTCTCCTACTTCAGAATTTAAGTCACAGGAGGGGACAGGTTTTGTCTGTCGTGTTCTGCATGGTCTTTCCCAGTACATCAAACAGTGCTAGGCAGGTAGTAGACACGGAAATGCTGGACGTTGTTTCAGAAATCCTCTTAAACATGTTAGTATTATCAACTTAAAAACTGCTTACAATTTCTATAAGAGACATATGTATTTACAGTGGAAAGTTTAGAAAGAACATAAGAAAAACAGATGCACATAAAAATCATTTAGCATTCCACTGCCTACAGATAATCAAGGTTGATGTTTTATTATATTTCTTCCAGTTTAATAGCATGCTATTGGTTTTATTTATATTTCTTTGATGCTAAGTGAGGTAGCTTTACTCTCCTACTCCCTCCTCCCGCTAGGTAAGCCATCTGTAGTTCTTCCTTTGTGACTCAGCTCTTAGTTGAGGTATGCGCTCAGATGTTATCTCAGAAAGGTCTTTCCTGACCACCTTCTCTAAAGTACATCTTTACCATTTCCCTCCCCTGCATTCTCCATCATCTCACCTTGTGTATTTCCTTTATAGGAGATCTGGTAGTGTAGTGGATACGAATCAGGCTGCGAGCTGCAAGGTCAGCAGTTCGAAACTACCAGCGGTTCCGTGGGAGAAAGATGAGGCGGTCTGCTCCCGTAAAGATTTACAGCCTCGGAAACCCTGTGTAGGGTCTCTATGAGTCGGAACCGACTCCATGGCACATAACAACAACAAATGTTCTATAATTCTTGAGTAAATGTTTAATTTGTTTGGTTGATTTGTGTGTTTATACTTCCATTCCTCTTGGGAGAACGCAAGGTCCCTTAATAAGGGAAATAATCTTGTCTCTCTTGCTTACTGTTGTATTCCAAGTAACAAACACAATGTTTTGTATTCCCAGTATTCCAAGTAATACACTGGGAATAGGGAGTCATTGTTGTTGTTGTTGTTAAGTGCTGTCGAGTCGGTTCTGACCTGTACAGAATTTCCAAGGATCGGCTGGTAGGTTTGAACCACCACCTTGTGGTTCAACTCAACCTTGTGGTCCAGTTCTTATCCTGCAGTGCCACACCAGGACTCTGGGAGTCATTAGCATACATTATTTAAAAATATATTATGTCAGAAAGTTCTAATTCAAGAATTCTTTATTTAATATAAGGAGCGCTGGTGGCACTGTGGGTTAAGTGTTGGGCTGTTAACCACCAAGTTGGTGGTTCAAACCCACCAGTCCCTCCATATGAGAAAGATGAGGCTGTCTGCACCAGTAAAGATTTACAACCACAGAAATCCTATACAGGGTCACTTTGTGTCGGAACTGACTGGAGGGCATGTAACAACAGTCAGAATCAATATGATGGAAGTGAGTTGAATGTAAATTGAAGAAAACACTACCAGTGTGGAATGTTTATTCATAGTGTCTGTCCATACCTGATTGTTGGGCTTGGTCGATAAACATTTTCCAAAGTAAAGAGTTTCTGTAACACACAAGCTATTGCATGCAGGCCCATCAATAACTCCAGTTTTGTATTTGTCACACTAAAAAGCAGAAAAAAATTTAAAAAGTAGTTAACATAGAAATGTTCATCAGAAGAAACATAATAAAGACCTATGAATAAATATCTGTAATCTTCAAGAGAAAAGTCATATGTTGACAATGCACATCTAACCAGAAGCTACAGGGCTGGTTATAACATTGGGTCTCTCTTAGTCCCTATTTAATCAACACACTGCCTTAAACAAAGACAGCATTTTTTAGGATTTTCTCATTCAGCCCTGCCTGAATGACGCCAAATATAAACCTGGGAAGTTCCCAAAGACAGTCTGTGGCCCTTACACTCTCAAACAGGGTGGAAATGGAATAAGTGATTTTGCATTATGGGCACTGTAATCAATGACAGAAAAAAATATGTATGAATTTTTTAATACAAAACTGCTGATCTACTCTATAAACTTTCAACCAATTCACAAAAAAGTAAAAAAAAAAAAAAAAAAAAAGTGGAAAAAAGAAATGAAAATTTAATGGAATTTGTCCACTAACTTTTTAAAACCCCTTCACACACATTGTTCTTGTTAAGTGCCATCTAGTCGGTTCCAACTCATAGTGGCCTTATATAGGGTTTCCAAGGAGTAGTGGTGGGTTTGAATTGCCAACCTGTGGTTAGCAGTCCAGAGCTTATTCTACAGCAGCACACCAAGACACCATTAGATAAGGATGAAACATAGAAAAAAAAAATTATGGATAAATTGAGAAAAGTAAGCAAAATGAAATGGAAATTTTAAAAGAAAGAATTGAAGGTATAGAAGAGAAAGACTCTGCAGCACATCCATATGAGGGAGAATGACACCAGAAGAACAGAAAAAAAATATTCACAGTAGAATTCAAAAGAACTTCACATAATGAAAGAACATTTGAATGTACAGATTAAAAGCATACAAGTCCCAAGAAAAACTGACAAAGAATATGACATAGAATGTAACATAGCCCACTGGTTCTTGTTGTTGAGTGCCATCATCTCACAGCAACCCTGTATACAGTTTCCGAGGAGCAGTTTGTGCTTTTGAACTGCCAACCTTGTTGTGAGTAGTCCAGTGCTTCTCTTAAAGCACCACACATACTTAACCCACTGTGCCATCAGGGCTCTTTTTAATAGTGTTACACTAAGTAGAAATAAAGGAGCTTTGGTAGTGCCGGGCTGCTAAACTCAAGGTCAGCAGTTTGAAACTACCAGCTGTTCTGCGGGAGAAAGATGAGGCTTTCTGCTCCCATAAAGATTTATAGCCTAGGATACCCTGCACAGGGTCGCTATGAGTCAGAATTGACTCCATGGTACTAAACAACATCAAGTAGTAGAAACAGTAAAAACAATATTCTCCGATCACAATAGGATAAACCTTGAAATTAATTAAAAGGAAAAAAACTTTAAAAAACGAAACCACCTACCTGCCCCCACTCTATAGAAAAATTTTAATATTCTTTAAATTCTTTGGTCAAAGAGAAAACCCAAATTGAAATTTTACAGTATCTGGAAAATGATAACAACTTGTTTCAGAAACTAAAAGATACAATGAAAGAATTTATCAGAGAAGGATCCACAGTCTTAATTACTTTCATAAAGAATAAAATTAATGAATTCAAGATTCACAAAATTAGAAAAAAAAAAGAATTTAATCTAAGGAACACTGAAAGGAGAAATTAGCCAATAATAAAAATAAAAATACTACCACTTGTAAACCGATGTTCTCCCATGTAAACACTCAATACACAGTAAAAGCTTTAAAAAACAACAGTGGCTTCTGAGAGGAATTGCGGAACAATTAAATTCAAGACAGGTCAGCTCAGAAGGTTAAGGTGACTGATTTTTTGGATTACAAAAGGGATAAGGTAATCTTGACAGATTCTCTCAGATGACACAAAATAATATCATAAGAGCTTATTATAAAGAAGTTTCACAAAAATCGAAAATTCCATTAGTGAGAAAAATGCCAGGAAATTTGCAATGAAGAAATTTTTTTCCATCATGACAATTCATCTACTCAGTCTTCATGGGGAACAAGGACTGTCCTATGAAAATTTTGTTGGGGACATATACTCCATCACCCAATTGCTCAGATCTTGCCTCTTCACACTTCTTTTTGTTCCCAAAATTCAAGGGACATTTAAAAGGAACATAATTTGAGATCTTCAGTGATGTTAAAAACTGCCATTTTGACATGATGTAAATAAGAGTTCAGAATTCTTTGGGGAAGGGTTATAGAGATGGAAATACTACCTTCAGAAATGTACAGATTTAGATGTTGAAGAATAATAGCTTCACATTTTGATATTTTTATTTAATAAAGTTTTCTAGGATTTTGTACCTATATTTTTTCACTTAACCCTTGCATGGTATAGCAATGTCTCAGAAACTCTTTGATAGTGAAGGTCAGGCAGCTTTGAAGGCAAGAAGCTGAAAAGAGGACATTAAAGTCATATTAGGCTATAGATTTTTTTTTTTCCTCTCCCTCCTCTCCCTTTTCTGCAATTATAGACTGTAGTATTCAATCTAGTTTTGTCTTTTTTTTTTGCTGGTGCTGTTTTGCTGTTGTATGCTTTCCCTTCTACCTTTGGGGGACTCTTTCTCTCCCTATATTACCCAAGAAGAGACAGCAACTGCTGCCATATAGTTAAGCTAAAACTATACTCTATAAAACACCAAAACCCAGGCAAGAACCAATACCAACAGCCATATACCAGAGAGGCAGACAACACCTGTGAAAGTTACTCTGAGTTAAGGAATAATAAGAGTGAAAAGGGAAGCCCACATCCTGATCACATCTACCTGGAAGCAATCAGAAAGCATAAAAAATACCAAAACACATACTCAATTAAGTATTAAGGCCACAGATAAACACTAAACATGTCCAAGAAGCAAAAGCAGATGACCATATTAGCACATGGCCAGAAACAAGATAAAATGTCCAAGACAAATGACCTAGAGGTAGACCTGGACTACATTCTGGAAGGAGGGCAGGCCTTGGAAATGCCTGAGAAGGAATTCAGAAAAATTATCATAAAATGTTTCAAAACTCTTTACAAGGGAGTTGAGAAAAATAAGGAAGACGTCAGGAAAGCGCTACAGGAACAATCAAATAAGATAGATACAGCATTTGAAACAATTCAAAACCTACAAAAAGAGGTCCAAACAATCAATAATAGAATATCAGAAATAGACAATACTCTGAAAAGGCAAAGGAACAGAATAGAAGAGATGGAAGGCAGAACCAGTGAGCTAGAAGACAAATCTCTCAAAACCACTAAGATAGCAGAACAAACAGAAAAAAGGATAAAAAAAAATTTGAAGAAGGTCTAAGATTCATGTTGGACAACATGAAGAGGAATAACTCAAGAATTATCGGCATTCCAGAACAAAAAGAATCACACAAGTCCACAAAGGAAATACTTGAAGAATTGCTGGAAGAAAATTTCTCTAACATCCTGAAAAGTGACAAGATAAACATTCAAGAAGCTCAACGAACCCCAGGAAGGATAGACCCCAAAAGAAAATCACCGAGACATATCATAATCAAGCTCTCCAAAATCAAAGATAAGACAAGAAAGAAGGAAAGGACCAAAATGGATGTCAGAAGAGACTCTGAAACTTGCTTTCCAGCGTCAAGATGCCAAAGCAAATGAAAGTGAGGATGCAAAAGAGCTGAACAGAAAACTTCAAAGGGCAGCTAAAGAATACAAAGTCAAATATCATAATGAAATGTGCAAAGGCCTGGAGTCAGAAAACCTAAAGGTAAGAACCCATTCAGCATTTCTTAAGCTGAAAGAACTGAAGAAAATATTTAAACCTTGACTTGCAATATTGAAGGATTCTGGTGTGCACTGTGGGATAAAGCACTGGATCACTAGGTCGGTTTGGACCACAAGGTTGGCAGTTTAAACTCACAAGTTGTCCCTTGGGAAACCTATACAGGGTCGCTATCAGTCAGAACCGATTCGATTGCACTAAACTACAACAACAAAAAATGGACAAAATACTGAAGGATGTAGAAAGTATCAAAAGAAGATCAAAGGAATACAGAGATTCACCGTACTAAAAAGAAATGGTCGATGTTCAACCATTTCAAGAGGCAATGATACTGATAGAAGACGTTCAAAGTGCATTGAAGGCATTGGCAAAAAACAAGGCTTCGGGAATTGATGGAATACAAATTGAAATCTTTCAACAAACTGAGGCAGCACTGGAGACACTCACTCATCTATAACAAGAAATTTGGAAGACAGCTACCTGGCCAACTGATTGGAAGAGATTCATACTTGTGCACATCCCAAAGAGGGGTGACCCAACGGAATGTGGAAATCATCGGATGATATCATTAATATCATGTGCAAGTAAAATTTTGTTAAAGATAATTTTAAAATGGCTGCAGCAGTACATTGGCAGGGAGCTGCCAGAGGTTCAGGCTGGATTCTAACAGGGAAGTGGAACAAGGGATATCATTGCTGATGTCCAATGGATCTTGGCTGAAAGCAGAGAATACCAGAAAGATGTTTATCTGTGCTTTATTGACTACACAAAGTCTTTCAACTGTGTGGATCATGACAACCTATGGACAACATTGATGAAAATGAGTATTCCAGAACACTTAATTGTGCTCATAAGGTCTATATATAGACCAAAAACAGTCATTCAAACAGAACAAGGGAACACCTAATTAAAATTAGGAAAAGTGTGCTCCAGGGTTGTATTTCCCCCCCATACTTATTTAATCTGTATGCTGAGCAAATAATCCAGGACATTGGATTATATGAGAAGAACATGGCATCAGGGTTGGAGGAAAACTCACTAACAACCTTCGATATATACATGATATAATCTTGCTTGCTGAAAGCGAAGAGGAGTTAAAATACTTACCAATGAAGGTCAAAGACCACAGCCTTCAGTATGGGTTCCACCTCAAAAATCCTCACAGCTGGACCAATAAATAACATTAAGATAAATGGAGAAAAGATTTAAATTATGAAAGACTTCATTTTGCTTGGATCA